AACCAAACCTGTATTATTGCCACAACCAAGGTATCAGAACAAAACAGTAAGTAAGGCTCAGCAGAACACCTGTCTTTGTCCAGAAAACCTGTATGTTTTCCTGGGGGGAAGGAAGCATGGTAAGTATTTTCAGCCATATTTTTAACTCCAAAATACAGTTGTGCTGTCAGTAATTAAGCCTGGGGAACTCCACGATTCCTAGCTTTTTCTAACAGATGCTCAAAGGGATGGAAGGACACTTTGCAACAATGAGATAGATAAGGACTCTGTAGCCTCCAAAAGACAGCCCTAAAGTACAATGCAATAGATATTTTTAAAGCAGGGGCAGTACAGACAGAGCATGATTGTGTCTGGTCACCCCTTCTGTCAGCTGAAGCCTCCAGGAACAGATTCAAACCCAGATGGAAACTGCTTCCCACACCATATAAACAGGTAGCAGATGCTGAAAATTGACAAAAGCTTAAAAAGGAACTGAATGTATTAATGGAAAAAAAAAATATCAGGGGCTATTAGATAAAAAAAGCCTCTGGCTAAGAAAATGCCTGAGTTACTGACCCTGGAAGCCACAACATCTGCTTGGCTGAGTACAGGTCCTGAGTGTTAGGCACCTCAGCTCACTCCGTGCAGCTACTTGGCCCCACAGAGGAGCACCCCATTCAGTCTCCAGTTTTTAGGGTTGATTCCTGGCTTGGTTGCTGATTCCTTTGATGACTTGCCTCCTAGTGTATCCATTTCTTCTGATTGTCATTGGGAAAGTAATGTTTGCCTTACCAGAAAGAAGACTGAAGTTTAAATAACCCCAGATAAACGCTACTAGAGGCAAATTACAAGTAGAAAGGAAGGTAATGCAAATATCCCCAATTTGGAGGCACTTAAGCACATGCTTCAGTTAATGACATGGATAATCCAGCAAAACTTTTCTACCCAAAACATTTAAGTACCTTCTTAAATCACCGTTCCAGTAGCACTCACACACACTGCCTCCCCACCTCATGAGAGGACGTTCAACACCAGTAGCACTGGAGAAGTCTTCAAAGCAGAAGGAAAAGCACTTTCCTTTGTAGAGCCCTTTTCACTACAGGATGTGAATTAAAGTGTGTGCTTGATTAAATGACTCCCAAAGCAGTTCACACCGAGTCCAAGCTTAAGACACACACAAAACCAAAACAGGTGAACTGGTAACATTACCACACTCTCCCTCCAAACGCTTCTCTCCAGATCAGTCTTCCTTGCAGGCAAGCATCGTGAATAACAAGTACAGCTCATCCCCCACTGATACACAGTGCCTGTGCACCCTCTGCCATCACCCATAATTTTAAAGGTCGCCCCACATTTCCCATCTGTTTGGCTACTGCAGCCACTTCACTGCGTACCTCTGTTTGCAGCATGCACACATGGACCTGGATTAACACCTTGCAGGCTCTGACAGGAATGCACTTCTAATTTAATAAAACTCAACCAGCAATGATGCATTTGCTGCTGTGATGACTGTGAGCTTCAAGCAGCTGCATGGTTATTGAGTCTCCCAAATTACATAACAATTATGTATGCTTCCATTAAAATCACCTTGCAATCTCTAGATTGCCTGGCAACACTTTTCCTTCAGTGTGCATAAACGGTGCACTTTCCCCCTGTAATTACATAATAATTGCCATGCATTTACCCAGCAGTTCTGAGAGAACACCATTTTTAACTTTCATTTGCTAATAAAATAAGTGCTTACTCAATAACCCAAAATAAAGCATCCTATTGTTCCCACTGTTGTGAGTGCTTGCACATCCTATAATTTATTGCCCCATTTCATTGTCCTTGCCAAGGACAACAAGAACTTTTTTTTTTTTATCTTCTAAGCTAAACTTTCTTCTGAGCAAGAGCTGTTACCTACTGCAAGTGCCAGCATCATCCAGCACAGCAGAGCCTGCATTTCCCAGCTGAGGCATACAGGTTCTGCAATGGTGTGAATACTGATGAGAATATAAAAAGCTGCAGTCTTTGCCCTTCAGACTCTACTGAAAAGCAGTCTTAAGCTTCCCATCCCCATTCATATATACCTTTCAGCTGACTGCTTTTTGGTAGCTTCTAGCACGGAATTCTCTGGACTGTCACAAAAGAGCAAACAGTGATTTCATTTCCCATCAGCTGCTACTTTTCCCATTGATGTTTGATAAACAAAATGAGATGCCACTCTATTGCAGTGAAGATGGACCAAGACACTACAAACCACATTCCTCTGCCTCGGCAAGGGCCATCAACACTCATCAGAAACCAGTGCTCTGCAAGAAACGGTCTCCATTTGAAAGCTGGTGATACACCTTTAATGAAAGCTTTAGGAAAGCGAGGGGCTCACCCTGACCCTCAGAAGTGCAGAGCTTGCAGGGGCCACTTGAGATTGAGTGAAATGAAGGCAGATGTGGCTCAAGGCACTACAGCAGCATGAAATACTCCTTTAATGTTTGACACAGCTACATGTCGGATCTTTGAAAGTACATTTGAAACAATTCCTTCCTTCCTATTTTCTTCCTGATGTTGTAACAGCTGGGAAAATGACACCTCAAATGACACAGGGATGTGACACAGCTCTGTCTTGCAAATATCTGATGTTTCTTACTTTGCACAATGCTCACTGGCCATGGCTGATAAACACTTGATCAAATGTGTTTGCCCCTCCCTGCTGGCTGCTCTGCCTTCAGATTTGCCACTGAAACTACATACTGTCAAAATAAGCCAGGATTTTAAAAAGGTGCCACATCTGAGAGATCTCAAGCTAACTTAGATTGGTCTCACAGAGCTGGGCACAACAGTTACCTCTGTTGTCAGGTGAGCACAACAAAAAACAAGAACCACGCAGGTAAGCTGCTGGAGGAGAGCAAAGGACGTACCAGAGGCCCACCCACCCCAGGAGCCCATCTCCTGTCAGGGTCAATAGCATGGAGACATGCTACACACATTCCTGAAGACAAACTGCCTGCATTCTCATATATAACAGCCTTCGATACTCCTTTCTTCTACAAATTTGTCTGGTCCTTTCTGAGTCCATTAACTTCAGGTACTTGCCATCTCTTTCAGCAATTAATGTCACAGTTAATTACCTTCCGTCTTTTTAAAACTTGCCACTTGATTATTTTGTTTGCTACTCCTCAGTTCTTTCTGTTGTTCACCTCTGCTCAGACACACAGGACAAGTCTCTGTCCATATCCCATGCTCATCTTCAAAACTGAAGTGCTTTAGTTTCACCTCTCTGTACAGGATCATTCTGATCACCTTCCTTAGGTTCTTCTCTAGAGAGTGGTTTCTGAGACAGGCAGTGCAGAACTGTATACAGCATTCAAGATATTCTTCCCTGCTTTCTAAGAGCTCTTACAGATCCAAACAATTGCATAATGATATTTTCTACTTTATTCCATTCCCAGTAATGCACTAAATCCTGGTAACTTTCTTGACTATCTCTAGGCAATGGCATTTACAAGAAAACTATCCAGAACGAGAACTGAGTGAGAACAGCTCATTTAGAGCCTGTCACGATGTACATATTTTTAGTGCTGTTTCTCCCCCTCATACAATATCTGTATTTGGCAACAAGGATTTTTATCTGCCCTTTTATCATACCATCACTCACTATCATGCCATCTCCCTTCCAGTCAGTTCTAATGATGACTACTCTTGAACAACTAGTTGTCATCACCAATCTCTCATGTTGCATTCTATTCTATTTCTAGGCATTTAGGGATATATAAAACAACCCAGGCCACATTATGGACTCCTGTTTAACTGCACAAGTGACTTTTCTCCACTGTAAAAGCTGTGTTCCTAATTTCCTGATCATTGTCTAGTTGTTAATATAAAGGAGGTCAGCCAACCAAAAATACCTTCTTTATGAGCTTCTGTTAACAAATCTAATCAACAGCAGTTTGACAATCCAAGCACGCTGTAGCAAAAGCATCACCTTTCCTACATTTTTGTTGACTCCTCTGGAACACTATCAGATCAGTGAGGCATGAATTCCCTCTGAAAAAGCTGTATTGACTCTTACTCCTCTTATTCAGCCATCCAATCATGGCCAATTCTTTAGCATACCAGCATTCAGATACACCAGTTAATAACAAGATCACTAACCACTGTGGAAGGCAACCTACAACAAGGACAGCAGAATCAAAACACCAAATGCATCTCAACAGCATTTGACAACCTGCTGGTACACAAGCAGTTACCAGGTGACTTGTGGTTATATCTCTCAGATGATACTGTGCAACATGGGCCCCTGGCAGCACTAGGGGCATAAAGAGATCCAGTGCAAAGAGCAACTGTGAGAAGAAAGGCAGAGACCTTCTGTTAGAAAAGGGAGAGAAGGTCTTAGGCTAGCATGAGTGATCAACAGAGGATCCAAGTTGTGCCTTCTGATGTGGGGACAACGCTGGTACTGAGGCTCAAGAGGAGTGGGAATGTGCAGTGTAATATGTTCAGATACAGCATGGGAGTAAAGCCAGCAAGCAGTGCTACACCACATCAAAGCACCAGGGTCTCCGACCCATAACCTCCTGAGTAGTATAGATTTGTATCTGCACCCATAAGTGCCCAGCTTTACCAAACTAGCTATTTTCAGAGGCTGCTGTCTCCATGGCTAGAGCTTGCCTTGCTAAGATGGAGACAGCACTCTGTTCCAGCTGAAGCTACTGACTCAACCTACATCACTACAAAATGCTTCTTTGCTAGCTCTGCCATTGCTTTCAAAGACTCTCTCTGAAAAGATAAGAAGAGGACAAAATGCAAGCCACTGTTTTCCTAATGTCCCTTCCACAGAATGCCTGCTTCCAGCACCTGTTATGCAACCTGGGTAAACCTGAGTTGAGCAGGACCACCATCTGCAAACCCTGTCACATGCAATTAGAGAGGATCTCGCTGGCTAAGCTGATACAGCCCACTGATGTTGAGAGGCTTCTCTCCAGCCAAACAGGAGGCTGACATGCATTGCAAAAACAGCCATCACTTTTGGTGGTACTCACAGTACTCAATGCCCAAAACAATGTCTCTGAAGTAGAGCCGGGCCTGATCCTCGCTGAATGGCTCGTCACTTGGTACCTCCATGACAGCCCTGTAAGGAAGAAGGAGTAACTGAGTTCTTTGCAAAATGGCAGCAGCACTCATTACTGAGGTTTTATGTTTCTGAAATTATTCTGCATCATTGTGGTCCTATCACTGAGGGCCTGGATCTCAGAAGGTCCAGGACCAACCCTCTACCTGAGCAAAGGCTGCTCCTGGGGCATTCCTCTCTTCACCCCTTGCTGCAATTTGATAGATAACCTTCTCCAATTTGCATCTTTCTGCAACTGCCTTCTCTCCCTCTTTATAAATATTTTTCTGCTGCTGAAACCAGGCAGAAATAACGTGAGTGACAGGACTGGCAGAGCAACTAATGGAGTCTAATTGCCTTCTGCTAGAGGCAGGCAGGCTGTGCTTGGTCAAACAGCACATTCCCTGGCCCTGGCCTCAGCTGATTGCAGGAGCTTCCCCCTACTGCCTCCTACAACACAGTCATCAGCCTGGTCACCAGGGAGACTGGGAGCCTCTCACCAGCAGCCTGCTGGTGTGGCCATCTGCAAGAGGCTTGTTTGTGGGCTAAAGGGAAAAATAAGCTCTTTGGGAATCTCCCCCATCCTGGTTTCAGCTCTCTCAACCTTACTGCAACTCTGCAGGGCTGCAGATCCAGCCCAGGTGTAGCAAATAGTAGTGCAGGCACCTACCACCACATCACTGCACCTGCCATGGAAATGTGCCAACAAAATAGTCTCCCACAATATATTCATACTGAGGGCAATGTAAGGCCATGTATCACAAGTAAGCATTGATGTTATTTTATACTCTTGAGTCTTGAGAGAAAGCTATGATATGGCTGCTACCCCAGCACAATATTCCCTACAAAGAGCTTCTCTTCCAGGCATCTACTGGGGAAGTGGCACCAAATTTAGCATCAGGATCAAAACCTGACACCAGGACACATTTTCTCTGAGCCCCTTATAATCCACTGCAACATCCCAGGCTGTGACAGCATGAAGGTAACTACAGCTGGCTTGTCTCCTCTGTGCTTGTCTGTAGAGGGTGGTTTTCCCCACTGTGCACATCAAAACTTCAATTTCAGCTAGGAAGCCAACAATAAACACCAGACATTTCAGCAAGGGACCCCAGAAGGGCTACTTACCCTTTCCTCAAGAGGTCAAACACTGCAAGGAAGGAAATCAAGTCATGAATGAAACAGAAGAGAGAATCGGACTTACTCATTTTTTAGCATCTATAACAATACATTCATTCCTACACCTGCAAAATCTGCTGCAGTATTAGTCCTTGATGATTTGAGGCCTGCCTCATTCAGTACCTCCACCTCCAGGGAAGGTGTTCGGTGATATTTCTGCTAAATTGCTGATACTGAATGAGGTGCTTTAAGAACACACTGCTCCATTTCTGCTGTGAGCATCAGCAGCACAGCTATAATGCTATCAGAGAGGTAAACACTCCCTGGGGGGTGCAATTGTAGAGAATTTATTGGAATGAGTTGAGGTTTGCAGAGTATGAGAGTTTGTGCGTCTGATTAGGGGGTTAAAATGACAGCTTGTCCCAGCCATGGGTATTTTTCTGGTCCTTTGGCAGCAATTACTGAGGTTTCATGAAATACTGTTAGGTAGCAATGTCAGGATATGAAGCAACTTGCAGGAAAACAAGAGGACATTTGAGGTCTCCTAGCTCCAGCCTGGTGTTTGAGACCCTCTGACCTTTTGAAGGGGAATGCTCCTCTGCAGCCCAACATACACAGCTACCAAAAAGCCAGACTACAAAACAACAGGAAGCAAAGCAGCAGTGGTGATGGGAACAATGTTTTGAGCCAGCTGGAGGCCTGCCTCTGACCCCTTCTGCAAATTTAAGCAGACACTTAATGTCACTCAGTTTCTGCCCTGCAGAAGTCTAAAATGCCCAGCACCACTCTAGGGCCATGTCCATATCTCCAAGACTGCAGCACGCTCCCATTGGAGGTCCTGGTACCAGATGTGCAAGGCACAACCAGAACTGGTGTCAGAACAATCTGCCATTATCTGGTAGGAGAGCTCTTTCCTCAAGAGTTACTAAGGAATTTTTTGCACCTCTGAAGGAATCCCAGCAGACTGCCCCCTGCAAAGCACACAGAGACCTGCTTATAGCTGTGTCTTTGGTCAACTGAAGTTACAAATACAAGCCAGCCTGCATCAGCAAATCTTTCCCTCAAGAAAGATTTCCCTGAAGAAGCTGCAGCTTTTGGTAACATTTCATTACTCAACCATCTTGCATCATTTCAGGTTGCTCTGATTTCCACCACTACCCTCAATCCCTTGCTTTCTTCTCACTGAACATGCAGAAGAGGAAATCACTCACAGGTACTGTTAACAGTAATTACCAATGAGCAAACTCCACTTTCTCTAGTTGCGTTTTGCAGTGCCAATGAGATCAAGACATTCCCCACTTGTCCTACAGCTATTGCTGCCATTTCCAGGACTGATTATTCTTTTTATTTTCTGCAGCTTTTTTAACTGCCTCATGCATTTATTTTCATGCAGTGAGAAACCTTGCTCCCTCATCTTTTCCTTTCTCTCCATCCACAGGAGTTCAGGCCTTAAAACAATGCCCTTGGTTTTCTTAACTACGCATCTGCCTGGCCTGCCACCTTTGGGATGCTGCCAGAATGCCCACAGGGCTCCAGCAGACAGGGAAGAGCAGCCTTTCAAAGGCAGATAGCTTCATTTGCTAGGCACAGACTCCTTGCACAGGCAGCTTCAAAACATCCCATAATTATTTTTATGAGAAGCAGCCTTTAAGCCTGTCTCATCAGGAAACACTACAGAGTAGAGATGTAACTCTGTCAGATGTCCTCATCTCTGAGGATCTGGCACCCTGATACTCCCCCTGTCCCTCTGGATTCTGCTCAAAACAGAGCACTTCCAAGATGGAAGAAAAAAATGGATGTAAATCTCCCATCCTTTGCATAAATGCACTACTACCTCCCAGTCTGGATGCCCAAGGCATAGGCTGGGCTAAGTGGCCAGAGACAGCAGTGCTGCTACTTAGGAGGTCGCAACACTCATCAGGGAGGTGAATGCTGGGGTCACAAAGAACACCTTGAGATGACTTCCTTGAATCACTACCACAGTCCAAAGCCTACAAGAGTATAGAGGTGAATCTCATACTGGGAGTACAAGAAACCCTCCTGCACCCTTCCCTTCTTTCCTGGCTCTGGAATTTTAACCTGCATAAATAAAGAAGAGGGCAGAGCAGCTGTCACATCTTTTCAGCGTCCTTAGGTTTAAGGAGATGGGTGCAGCTCTGCTGGAACATATGGCTACCTTACCCTAAGGGAACTGCCATTTCAGGAAAACTAACTCTGCTAAGTTGGTACAAGTTCCCTCCCAGGTCCTGGTACAAGTTATTCATACCACTAAGGCTAAAGTTCAGAGAGTTCTCTTAGCATATAGTGATTCACATACCCATGTATAAGTTGTCTTCTGCAGGATCATCAAGGACCTGTAGTTGAAAACAGAAATGAGAGAAGAAAGAAAAACAGCAGGGAAAGTCATTTTTAATCAAATAGCATTTCACTGCCCCCTATACACTATGCTAAGCTGCAAAGCATTAAGAAAGAGTTACACTGATATTTAGAGATTCTTGGGGGGACTGGTGGTGGTGGTGGTGTTGAACACCATTTTCCAACTGCTCCCCATATTTGTAGACATTGCTTACCAATAAAAAGGCACTGCTTATCCTGATCTGATACTAGCCAATATTGAAAATGGCAATGAAGCCTTGCATTTATCCACCTTCCCATGCTTGTCTATGCAAAAGTTTCACTGGTCAAAGCTTGCTGCTGTTTCTACCAGTACATCCAGCTGCCCTCACTTGGATACTAGGCCAAAGCCCACCAGGATAAGTGTGTCAGTTTGTCACACACAACCGGTGTGATCTTATCTAAGATAACCAACCTATATTTTTAAACAATTGTTTTAAAACAATTTCAGCTGAAGTAAGAGCAGTTGAAGAAACATCCTCTTGTCACAGAACAAACCAGATTTGCTTCAGTGTAGTTTAGGGTGGAGAAGTAGCTCACCTCTATCAGTTTAACAACGTTGACATGGTCCAGTTTCTTTAATATGGCTATTTCCTGATAGACTCTGTCCAGTGGTGCCACTGTTTTAGACTGCTCTCCAGTGGATGTTTTTGACCCTCTAGGAGGAGGTCGACCTGCAATCACAATATTGCAGTGAGGAAGAACTCAGCTTTCAGCATGTAAGAGTAAGCAACAACTGGTACTTCTGAAGGGTATCTTCAGCTACTCTGGAAAATATCATCGCCTTATTATGATCCCAAAGCATTACAGACTCCACCCTGAACAGTGATTTCCAAACCACATTTAGGTTTGCTCCACACTTCCCAGCCTGGCTTGCCTGTCAGATCCCATTGCCCCACCTTTTGGACAAGGTGCTAATCTAAAAGGACAGAAGAGCCCCTGGGAGGAAGGAGGTCTAACCCTACCTAAATTCCAGCATTTAATTAGGTTTCATATATGATGAACAGGGAAGAGCCAGTACTTCAAAGACTAGAAAATCAAAGCCAGAAACCCAATTACCAAGTGCTTTGAATTTCTTTGTGCTTGGTCTTTCACTACCTGCTGCGTTTTAACCAGCTCCCCAACTACTTGGGAAACCTTCAAACAAGGTAAAGTTCTGCATTCCTTCCAGGCAATGTTTCTATTGAGAGTCTGCCTGGCTGAGGACAACAAGCAGATCTCAGAATGTGAGATACCCACGTGGAAATCCATACTGCTTTAAGAGCTTCTTTTTGGAGAGGACTTTCATAGCCTGAAGGAAAATGAAAAAGCAGTGTTAAAACCAAACAAGAACTCAAGTGCTCACTGCTCTGATGACAGAACATGCTGGTCATCCCACGGAAAAAATTACTGGTTTTAATTCATTTCAAGTAGGATATAGGAAAATTAATCCAATTTCTGCATTTAAGGCCAGAACTTAAGGGAAGAGTTACTTATGTAACTTTTTCTGGATGATGCTACGGCTGTGCTGGAAGTCAGAAAAGTGTCCAGGCTGCTCCACCTTCCTTTTTACCTTGCCAGAAGGTTCAGGAAGCAAAAGAGCTGGAGTATCAAAGCCATACCACAAACATCCTTCAACCTCCATCACACACCCAGGGTACAGTGAGGACACAGCTCTTTCACCAGCTCTGCTTTGGCTTGGGATGCCTTATGCATTCTCATGGATCATTTTTATACTATAAAGCCTCTTTCAGACCGCTAGAGCAACAAGCAGGATCTTTGGTGTGATCCAGCACAATACACAAGGCCATTAGTGAGGTACTTCACAGGCACCCATCCCTGCAGCCTCAGCAATGGTACAGCCATTTCTATGCATCTTTTCAGCAGTTTCCCTCTCCCCTCCCACCTGATCATGCACTAGCAAAAGCACAAACCCAGGAAGTAGAAGCATGGGATGGAGTCAGTGTAATTTTTTCTGCCATCCAATTGGTATCAACAGCATGACAAAAGGCAATATGAATTTAATAAATAGCCTCCGTACCTCCATCTCATCTGTGAGTTAATAACCTTTCTGAGGGCCATATCCCCAAGTGGCCCAGCAAATAAATATTCCATGCAGAACTAGCTCTTGGTACAATTTGCTTAGGAAAATAGTCTAAACTCCCTGGCGATGGGACAGTTACTCACTCCTTCCCCTAGGATGGGTAGCTACTCCTAATAATTAAGCATACAAATCTCTAATTCACACCAGAGTGACCCCTTTAAAATATAATTAGCAAAAGACTCCTGCAGGACACAGTCAAACACCAAGGAATTCTGTATTACTTCAATGATGGCAGGCTCTGCACACTGCCTGTTATTAACATATACACCAGGAACAGGTCACCAAAACCATTTTGGCAAGCTTCTTCTCAAGCTGTTTTTGCTGGCAACGATGCTGCTGTGTGCCCCAAGGTCCTCACCCACGCTCACACTGCAGCCAGGTTCACAGCTCACTGAAAGGATTGTTATTTTTGGTACTGATCCAGTGAAATCCTTTGGATTTGCACCCATGTAATTGAGAAGAGAACCTGGCTCAGCTCAGCGAGGCTCTCAATCCTGCCTGACAGCTCCTGAGCCAACTGTTGAAAATGACAGCATTGAGAGACAGGCTCAAAAGAACTTATCTTTCATTTAGCACAATGCTGTATCCAAACGGGCAGCCAAATGATTCACAGTCAACTGAAAGGTGGTCCAAGACATGCACAACCACATCCAAGGATGGCCAGGACCAAGCCCAGAGGATTTCTTGCATCCCTTAGTTTTATCTCTCCATTAGGCAAGTTGGTAGGAAAAAAAATATCAAAGGGCTTTATATACTTATTTATCTTTCAACAGCACCAGCCTGGAAATAAAAGGCCCCTGTTGCCCCAGTCCCACCCTGAGACCTCTGCCTTCTGTCACTAAGCTTTAGAGAAAGAAGAAATAGAAGATATAATTTGATGCATAAAAGTCCCAAGCTGCATCACAGCTCAAGAAACTGAACTATGGCTACAGTTGTGCCTGCATCAGCCCAGTCCTGGCTGGGGTCACCTCTGAGGAGGGCGAGACGGAAGCAGCAAGGGACAGAGAGGAGCAATAATGAAGGAAAAAGCCTGAGAACAAGAGCCTCTGAGGTTCACCCAGCTTCTCTAAAGAATACTATGAAGGGCCATGGGGAAACAAATGGAAGTTTCTGTAACGTAGGTAAGTTGACTACCACCTCTACTGTCAGGATAGATCTACATCTCTTTCAAAGCTGTGGTAGCTGTGGCTACCATACAGGCAGGGCTGGATCAGAAGAGAGGACCTGTTCCACTGAACTTCCAAATACAAACGTGGAATGAAAAACAAACTTTATCATGCAGAAGGTCAGAGCTGCTTAATTATCACAAGAGCGGAGATGAGGACACATGGCAGTGAAGCTGCACTGTAATTACAGAATGAGGCTTCCTCAATGAACTGGAGCTGTGCATTACAGGAGCAACACAGATGATCCAGCAAATCGCTCCTTCCAGGCTCACATGCAGGAAAGTGCCAAAGGCATTTCTATTTGCAGGCAGAGCTAATTACCCAGATAATGTTTTTTTTTTGATAAAGAACCAGCTCAGAGCCAAGCCAAGGGATTTTCCCTTTACACTGTTAAGTATTGCTTCAGCTTCCTCAGGAAAAGAGGAGACCCTCAAAGATTTCCCCTACACACGCCCTTGCACCCACCTTCCTTCCGACTATTCATAGAAGGACACAAGCCATGCCATTTTTCTGAGAGGCAGTGGGAACTCTGTGTTTCTCTTTGATGTCACTTTATTATTTAAGTCTTCTGCACTCCCCCTAGCAACCTTGTAGCTTGAACTCACAGGAAAGCGGTTTTGTGAGGACATCAAGGGAAGAGATCTCAGATTTATGCAGGAGGAGGGACCTGGGACATAGCAGCCTTCACAACAGTGAGGCTTTGAACTCAACATCCTGTTTGTGTCAGTGACAACTGGAAAACGTCTGTTATTTGGGGGATGGAATTGTGACAAAACAGACTGAGCCAAGGGAACCTATCAGCTGTGCCTTGTGATATTCTCACAACACTTGGGATATAATTTTATTTGGTAACAGGAGGACCCATGCAAGAGCAGAAAACATACACAGTCCAGACCCACAGTTTCCAGGGCAGAGGGAAGTGGCTCAAAGCCTGGCTACTAACCACCTAAATCCTCTGCTAGAGCGTGATCCAGCACCGTGGGAATGCTGAGAGGATCACAGCACATTCCCAGCCCTCTTCCACCTGTCCTCTCTGACAATGGCACCCATTAGAGAAAGTGGCCAAGCGGCTCTGCCAGGAGGGAGGAATGCTGTGAGATGAAAGAAAAGCCTCACCCAGACAGGCTTAGCTGCCAAATCCCAAAATCCTGTTCCCACTTTTTCCTGGGTGATCCAAATCCTCGCAGCATTCACAACAGTAAGACTTGCTGGTGACCATCTTTCAATCAGCAGTAACACTTTATACAGCTGAGTTCATCAGCTCAGAAGGGACCTCTCCCCACCCTGAAACTTGGGAGCAAACAGCCCTGATACAAAGATTGTTAGGTATATACAGGTAGACAGCCTGATAACACAAATCTTGTTTCTTAGGAAACCAGATTAAAAAGGGGAAAAAAAGCAACTCACTGACAACCTACAATGCTATTGCTTTTGTCTAAAACTAGCGTAACAAATGTCCATCATAACCACTTTTCTCTGTGAGCTGATTTAGAGATTGAAAACAGGAAGGAGGCATGACCTGAGGCATCACAGAATCAAATTCCATCAGCACAATGACTCCAAATTAGATCTCCACCTGGACACATTTGCCTTTGCTTTTTATTTGCTAACCTTTCAACAGAGCTTGGCTTTTTTTTGCTTTTTACCCCTGCTCACTGTCAAAGCATTTCCTGCAAATTATGACACTGAAACCTTCCCAGCTGTAAAAGGCTCCTTGGCAGAGCCTTGCAAACATTGCTTTAGCAGCTTCACATACTGCTGCAGTGGCAGAGGCAGTTTTCTGTACCCAAATCTACAGCTGAAGGGTCACTTCCTTGGAGGGAGCACCAGCCACATGCTTGGTACTAGAAGTTCAGTTTCCCCAGGCTGAAATGTTCTCTGCATCCACTGATGTAAATAAACACGATTTCACAGCCCTTCACAGCACTGCAGTTGTTCACAGTAACAAAAGATAAAGCTCCTGGAAGCACTTGCTCATCTTTAATGGAAGGAAGAACTATCCACAAAATAAACACAACTCACATTTTTCCCAGATGTGATGATCAGCTTTTCTTTCTGTAAGAGTTTTTCCTAATTCTAGGTCATGCCCAAAATTCATTCAAGCAAGAGAAATCTCTCTATTTACTTTGTCAGAGATTCAATTCCTGATACCTGCACTTATGAGAAGATCTTGCAAAAGGCCCTGTGTTTCAGAAAGAATCAGAGGTGTCATGCTCTGAATTATACTCCACAGCAAATTTTTCTGCTTTAAGATTTGCTCCTTTTTATTGTAGCACTCCAGCTCAAAGAAAATAAAGCATGCAGAAACACCCTGATCTTGAGCTAACGTACTGTACATGTGAATCAGCCACTGGGGCTACTCACTAAATGCCAACCAAGTGATGATTTTCTCCCATTATCTGTTACTGCTTTACACCAATGACATAAAAACAACCCTCCAGAGCCAAATTGATGAGAACATACATAGAAAAGGCTCTCCCCAACTGTCAGAGTCACAATTGCTTCTTGTAATTGCTGGTAACAAACATTTGCATTAGATATCCGTGCCCAGTGGGTCAGGGTTGCTGTAACAGCCTCAGACAGGAGCGATAAGCAGAGGTGCTGGAAGCAGCACAGTGGTCAGACACACTGGGAGGTGTGGGGAACTGAGCAACCATTAGCTAATTATGCAATTTGCTATTGTTTCCCTGAAGCTTTAAAAAAAATCTTCAGCTCTGGTAGACAAAAGCATGGCCATTTGGAAGCAAGGGGGAAAGGAAAAAGCTTCCACTACCCCAGCCAAAAGATTAGAAAGGATGTGAAGCACAGGCAACAGCACTGCAGCCTTCCTTTCTTGCAGGTCAGTAGTGCAATCACCTGCCCTTTCCTCTCCCATATGCTTACATTCACAGCAGTGAAACAGTGGTGACAGTCCTGATGCTTCTGCTCTGATTCCACCTCTGCCACTATCGCATCTCTCACATCTCCCAGGATCAGCTTCAGCCCCAGAGCCCCTGTTCTGTTTCAGCCCGACGTAACTCCCCCAGCAAGCAAAGGAGAACTGAAGAGTGCATCCCTGCAATGCTGGGTTTGTGCATCCTGTCTCTCTTGGGCTAGCAAGGGTGAATCAGAGGTGTACTGACATCAGAGCCACTCTCAGGCTACAGCAGCTTTAAGGCATTTGCCTAGATTAGGAAACAAAATGGAGATTAAGCCAGGATTAACTAACACACAGCAGGCTAACCTGGACATAGGTTTTCACTTTCAACTTTGATTTGGCCAGTTAAACCTACATCCAAGGTGCTCACCTGCAGCCAAAACATGAATGAGGAAGACAGTATACAACACCAACCTATACTGACCTCTCACCTGCTGAGGTGTGGAAACTGCCGTGTCTGCTCAGAGCAGCCAGAGCACAGCATCAAGATTTCCATCACAAAAAGAAAATATATGCTCAGACTGAAATAAATACAGTGTGATGCATTCCCTACTTCGTGCTGCTAGCCCTGGCACTCCCCTAGGCTGATGGGACAGATGCATCAGGGGAGCCACAGCTGGCACTGCTGTTCTCTGCAGAGCTAAACTGTGTTGCTCCAGGACATGGGGGAAGCACTCAGAGAGAAGCAGAGAAAGGGAGCCCTCAGAAACAGCAACCGCTCCAGTGTGGTGGGTGAGTCAGCCTGCAAAGCACAAGGGATGGAAAGAATTGCAGTTCCTTTGCTATGCCAGCTTCAGGGCACCTTCTCGGGATTTTTGCCTCATCTGTTCCATCCTTCAAGGTACTTCTCCCATAATTTCATACCCTCTGGTAGAAAGGAAGGACCAAGGATATTAACAGGCATGCAACTCCCACGCAGTCTCTCTAATCTTGTATGCCACTTGTAAATCCAAGAACCAGGGGAAGACAACCACTGGGCTGACCGCAGTCACTCTCGCCACCACAGGAGTGAATACATTTTACATTTCCATAGAACATTCCTATTCCCCTCTGCACTGCACCAAAGCGAGTCTGTCAGGGCACTCTGATGGCTCCATTCCCAATCACACAAGGCTGCTCTCCATTGCAGCAGGGAAAACAAGATTGCCACATCCTTGCCCTGCACTGTTCCATTGCTGAGCAGGGCACAGAGCAGTATCTGCACTGCTGGGCCAGACTGACAAGGCTGCTTGGAAGGCAGCTGGGTTTGGGTTTCACAACACTGCAACACTCGGCCCTTCCCAGTAGACACCTGTCATTCAAAAGAAACTGCTCAAAGCAAGCTGCTTTCCACAAGCCTTCAGGCACATCCACACAAACAAGGCAGTTTTCCTTTTGCCAGCTGCCCAGCTCCTGCTTGCAGCCCAAACAAAATTAACATAGTTTTCACAAGTGGGTTTTGCAGGAATCCCAGCTTGAACATTTAGGATTTGCCTGCTTCTGAAAAGGGAGTGACAGACAAGGAGGCTTCAGCATATACAGCCTTTCTGAATCTAAACCCTCTAATTCTGGCTTCAGTTTAGCAAAACATTTAAAAGCCAAGGCTTGCCCTCTGCACTGCATCCTACACCTGTTTAGTTTATGGAGAGGCAACTTGCAAGAAGGAAGGATGCAGCAGAGCCAGACACAGCCAAGCTGAGCCATAACATTCAGCATTTCTGATAAACTCTTGTGTTTCCTTAGAAAACAAGCATGCTCATTGCAGGTCGCTCTTCCAATGCAGAGCAGGTGCTGACTACCACCACCCACACATGCCTTTCAAGTAACCTGCTTCATAGCCAGACAGTGTCAGGACAAATCACCAATATGCTTCCTGCCTGCAAGGCCCTTGTCTGTTACATAATGCAGCCCACCTGATTCCCTCTCACCACAACACATAGGCACGCAAGCAGGTGCACAGACAACTGCATATCACTCCATGCCCAGCAGGGATGTTTGTATCCTTGCATGCCACTCAAATCAGAAACGTATATGCTAAAAGCAGCAAGGAAAGAGGGGACATAGCTCTCACGGGTGCAAAAGGAAATGAGGAGCAGTGGAGACAGTGTGGAGAGGAGAGAGACACTTACATAATACTTGTCATCATCCTTGTTGTAGGCCAGCTTCACAACACCATAGGAACCCTAAAAATAAAAACAAACTGCAGTCAGTTCAGCAGCTTTGCCTGGTCTCCTTGTTGCTCAGAACTGGTAGCATGTAGCCCTCTATGTTCTGGCCACAGTAGCAGCCACGAGGCATGTGATGAGGATTAAGGCTGACTGGTGGAGTTGTGTGTCAGCCCATCACCTCCTGCCCCAAGACCAAGCCATTGTGCCTGACCTACATCAAACATGGCTGGGGAAGGGAGAGAATAATGTGAGCAGAATTTCTTGTGAAAGTTTGTATGCTTGGCGTGGACACCTTTCTGCACTTCTGAGCAAGGCCATTTTCAGCCATAAACCCCTTCATCTCTTCAGAGTGAATGAACTTCAGGGAGGACCAACAGCCTGCCTTCCTCCAACAGCCTGTTGGATTGTTGCTATATCCACAGCTCCAGTGACAGCCTGAAGCCAAACTCCATGGAAGCCTCTTGCTTTGGAGAAGAGTTTGGGCTAATAGAACTTTTGGTGCAAGTCTGCAGCATGATATGCATTCAACTACAACCAACTGCCAAAGTAGGTACAGCTTCCAGAAAGCATAATTGCTTGTGGATCCATCTGCAGTGATGGCAGATGTCCAAACATGCAGGTGTCTGAACTGCTCAACAGCCCAGACCTCTAAATAACTTTGGAGAAATCTATTCTGAATCATTCTGCAGCATTTAAATATGGACTACAATTAAACTAGCAGTTCATTCATAGAAAGAAAAACTTAAGCTAGTGCTGGCATGGACCAAACACCTGCCCTCCTCTTTTTGTTTTTTTTTTTTCTTCCCCTGATGGGTTGTATTTATGCATTAAAGCCATTTAGTGTTACATTTGGCAAGCAAACATCTTGAAAAGAAGCCAACTTAACCACTTTCAGAGGGAAGGAAAACAAATTTAGATTTCAGAGGAAGTCATTCCACTTTGACCTTGAACAAAACTTACCCAAACTAATGAGGCAAAAAAAGAAAACAAACAAACAAAGAAAACCAAATTGAACCAAACAAAAGTTTCAAGAAGTTTTGGCCAGTATGACCTCCCAGGCTGGCATAGTCTTTTGACCTGTATTGTGTGTGTGTGTGCGCAGGTCTCTTATGACAAACACCAGCTCCAGGAACATACCTTGCCTATTTCACTCTGCAGCTTGTACTGGTTTAATTGCACACAGTCCTGTGGATCAAAAGGAGAACATAATTAGAGTATTGGTAAAAGGAAATTGTTTGATTCAGTGTCAAACAGTGGCAGAGCGCTGAACAGCCAAAGATTAGATCTTATTTAAACCATTGTAAGTTACACTATAAGCACTGTGTTTGTTTTATAAAGACAGCTCATAACAAAGCAATTATGAGCTGAGTTCTGACTGTTGTGCAGTGACTCCAACAGCACATTTACCCCCCAAAGAACCAGCACTGCTCCAGGCTCAGCCTGTTGAGCCTGCCAGCAGCACCTGGCCCTTTACATTTACTGACTGCATCAGACTACAATGTTCAACACCAACCCCAACTCTACAGAGGTATGTGGCTCCCATGGATGACCATCCAGGCACCCATGTCAACCCCAGTAGAGCAGGAACAACACCATTCCTGGCATCATCCTGGCAGAGGCCTTGACCCTCCATGGGCTGCCTGTGACAACTGTGGCAGCACCCAGAGGAAGCCCCAGCAGACTCATGGATTCATCTTTGAGGAGAAAATACAGAGCCAAACTCCTCTGCTGTATTCTGCACAGGGTCATACTCTGTGAGCAAAAGAACAAAACTCTGACATGCACACTGGTAATAAAAGCTTGATATCAAGAGACAGTGGGCTGCTGCAGCCTCCTCAACTTCCC